GTCGGACGCTCAACCAACTGTGCCACCCAGGCGCACCAAGAGAGAGTGGATCTTAAGCAGGGCCCATGCTCAGCTCAGAGCCCGAGGTGGGGCTCGATCCCACAACCCTGGGATCATGACCTGAGCTGAAATTAGAAGTCGGATGCTCAACTGACTGAGCCACGCAAGTGCCCCTCCTTCTGAGTCTTTTTGGCCAGTTACTCATCTACCTATAGACCAGGGGGTTGTCACCTTTTTAGGGCTATAGCCCCCTTCACAAAATTCTCTTTGTAAATATACAAAACGGTCTGTACAAGGTGACAAAGGAAGCCAATTACAGTTGAATCTCATCATTCACAGACGGCAGATTTGTGAATTTTGCCTACTCGCTAAAATTCATTTGTAATCCCCAAATTAACACGGTGGTTGTTGGTAGGCATGCATACGTCCAGGGCAGCAAAAGATTTGACACCCACTGTGCACCTTTTTGGCTAAGGTTGAGCCAGATGGCACCCTGCCTTCTTGTTTCAGCTGTCATGCTGCAAATGAGTATCCTTTCCTCAATCTGTTTGGTGCTACATTTTTTTGCATATTTGTACTTTTTTTTGTTTTTTACAAAAATGTTTATTTATTTTTGAGAGAGAGAGACAGGGAGGCAGAGTGCGAACGGGGGAGAAGCAGAGAGAGAGGGAGGGAGACACAGAATCCGGAGCAGGCTCCAGGCTCCGAGCTGTCAACACAAGAGCCCAACGCGGGGCTTGAATTCACATACCGCGAGATCATGACCTGAGCTGAAGTCGAACACTTAGCCAACTGAGCCACCCAGGCGCCCCTGCATATTTGTACTTTTTATGGTGATTTCGTTGTTTAAAATGACCCCAAGAGTAGCACTTGTGCTCTCTCTCAAAAATAGATAAATGAAGAAACAAACAAACAAAAAAGGAATTCTACCGATGGCCAATAGCACATGAGAAAACGTTCAACGTTAATGGTCAGGACAATGCCAAGGACAACCAAAATGACACACCTCTTCATTTCCACCAGAATGGTTACAATTAAATACCGATTTTTTTTAATGTGTATTTATTTTTGAGAGCGAGAGTGAGAGAGCATGGGTAGGGGAGGGGCAGAGAGAGGGAGACACAGAATCTGAAGCAGGCTCTAGAATCTGAGCTGTCAGCACAGAGCCCGACGCGGGGCTCGAACTCACCAACTGTGAGATCATGACCCGAGAGGAAGTCGGAGGCTTAACTGACTGAGCCACCCAGACACCCTTAAACACCGATCTTCATAAGTGCTGGTGAGGATGTGGAGCAACAGGGGCTCCTCATGCATCACTGATGGGAATGCAAAGTAGTAGAAGGCACTGGAAAACTTTTTGGCAATGTCTTATAGTTAAACATACGCCTAGCATACAGCTTAGCCATCTGCTCCTAGGTTTACCCAAGAGAAATAAAAGACAGTGAGTCCACAGAAAGACTCCTGCACGAACAGGGATAGCCACTTTATCTTCATAGCCCCCCGAAGTATACAATGTCCACCAACAGGGAAATGGATAAACCGTGACACATCCGTACAATGGAATTCTCCTCAGCAATAAAAAAGTTTGCAGAAACGTTACATGCAACAACTTGGAATGACTCTCAAAAGCATTATGTTGAGTGAAAGAGGACTAACACAAAAGAAAACATACTGTATAATTCCATTCATTTGAAATTTTAGAAAAGAAAAAGCTACATTGGAGCCACAGAAAACAGAAAGTGATCGCTTCTGGAGTGGGGGTGGGTGGGAGAGGTACTGACTACAAAAGACTCATGAAGGAAATTCGTGGGGTGATGGATGTATTCCTCGGGTTGCATTCACCTTCATTCAACTGCAGATGTCCTCCACTCATGATGGTTCAACTTGCAATTTTTGATGTGAAAGGGGTACACCCTGCGTTAGAAACTATACTCTGAGTTTGAATTTGGATCTTTCTCTGGGCTCGTGATCTCTCATGTTAGGCCACAGCTCACAGCCAAGCAATCACGAGGGTAAACAACCAATGCACATACAACCGTTCTGCACCCATAAAACCATGCTAACAGCATTCGATGAATTAATTATATGAGATAGTCAACATTTAAGTATAAAATACTGTGTTGGATGATGTCGCCCAAGTGTAGGCTAATGTAAGTATTCCAAACATTGCTGAGCTATGATTTTCGGCTGGTTGGGTGGATTAAATGCATTTTCAAGTTCCGTTATTTTTAACTTACTATCAGTTTATTGGGGGCAGGGACGTAACCCCATCATAAATCAGGAAGGTCTGTAGTAATTTTTTCTGCAAGAGGAGAAAAGCTTCCCGGAAGAGGTGGCATCTCAGGTGTGCCCAGAAAGATGTACAAGAGTTGACAGGCAAAGGGAGGTGAGTATTCCAGCGGGGGCGGGGACCCGGCAAAGGCCAAGTGGCTTGAGCGGGGTTGTATTTAGAAAACTCGGGACAGTCAGGTAGAGGACTAGGTGGCTATATGTCGTGAGGCCTGAGTCCTATAGCTGACTTGTTTCGGACCCAGACAAGCCCCCCTTTTCTTTGAGCCTCTCACTGTCCCTCAGGTAAGTGGGCACAAACTCCCTTGTTTCTTCTGAGCTCCCATAGGGCTGGGAGAAGCCACCCAATGCTCCTTGGAGAAGCCTCCTCCAAGGGAGGAGGAGTGACAGTTCCTTTGAGCCAATAGCTGGAGCCTAAAGACCGCCCTCCCTCACTCCTCGTGGGCCAATCGCCGCATTCTCCTTGAGACCAGCAGCTTGACAGGGCTTGTCCAAAGTATTCATGACGTCACATTCCAGATAAACCAATAGCAGCTATTAAGAGGCGGGTTGTTTAGGTGAGGGACAGCTCTCTTTCAAGATGTCTGCTTAGCGCGGGGCCCACCGGGAAATTTTGAGGCGGTGCTTGGCGGAGCAGGGGAGGGAACTTCTGGTAGACTTTGCCCAATCATAGTCGCAGTTCTTGCGATAGACGGACCGTCTTTCCCATCCCGTCGACTTAAGGGGGCGGGGCTCCGCACACCAGACTGGGCGGGCCCGTCAACTTTGATGGGCGTCTTCTTTGCCCAGTCGCTAAGCGATATTCTCAGACGGGCCGCCTCCATTGCCAATGAGATCTCCTGGCGGGGTCGTGGTGGGCGGGCCGTGGACCCTCCGGTATAAGGCGGTCCCGGGGGAGTGCGGAGAAAGGGGGGGGTCTCGGCGGCAGGAGGAGGAGTAGGTGCGGGTGAAGATGGCGGCAGCCGAGGCCGCGAACTGCATCATGGAGGTAAGCGCCCGGAGCGCCGCCGGGGGTAGGAGGCGGTTTTGGGGTCGATGTTTTGTGCCTTCGTCGTGGGGAAGGGGCTCCGAATGGGCGGATTGGGGCTGAAGGGTCTCGGACGTACGGAGGGGAAAGCGCATGCTCCAGATCCCAGGATACAGTTTGAGATGCGGGTTTCCTGGCTTTCGGGGGCCTGCGGCACCCGGTCGAGCCGAGGGTGTCGTGCCCCCTCCCACGTGGAGGAGGGCTGGGGGCGCTTCCGGCCAGGCCCCCACGTGGCCGCGCCACGGTGGGTGGGGAGGGGGTGTGCCGTGCCCGGTGGCCCGGCGGGCTCCACGTGCGGGACAAAGGCCCCGCCCCCGACCGGGGGAGGGGCGCCCCGGGGGGGCGGAGAGGAGGCTCCGACCCTCCCTCCGAGGCCCCCAGCCCTCTCCCCCGGGATCGCTCTGTACCCCTCGGGGTGGGCTTACTTCGGTTCCTCGGACAAGTAAAGGGTCTCTCGAGGGGAGCAGTGTAGCTCGACTCTCTACAACGCCGTTCCTGATACCGGGGCATCTGCTTAGGCTTCGGTCCAGGTTTCGTGCCGTCATGGGTTGGGATTGGAGGAAGAGGAAGAATTGGTTCCCACCGGGCCCCCGGTTTCCTGTCCGTGGATTCTCCCCTGCCCGGGACTTTGGGAGCTGGGGGGATGGGGCATGCCCCTGTGACCTCCCTCTGGGTGGTGGGGGGGCCTCTAGTTGAAGGAGATCCTTCCCGATAAGGCGTCGTGCACCCCCTTGTGGCCATTTCTGGGTGTGTGGGAGGGACATCTTTTTCATGGGGCGTGCCCCAAAGCCCACCTCCCCGGGCGAGGGGAGGGAGAGTCTCTGCTATGAAAAGGATGTGGTGGAATATAAATTACCTCCTATTGGAGATCTTTCTCTCCCCGGCGCATACGCGAAGGTGGGGTATGGTCCCCTCCCCCCTTCCTGAAGCCCTGTTTGAGGGTCCTGAGCCTGGAGGCTTGAAATGGTTTCCTGAAAGGTTTAGTTTTCGTGCAGCCATGTGGGGTTGGCTTCGGTGCTGTTTCAGGCTCTCTTGGGACTTGCCTGGTGGTGGTATTAGTGGTGTTCAGAAATGGGTCCCAGTGGGAAATCCCCTTACCCGTCACCCTGTATAGGTAGGTGTCCTCACTGGCTGGGGGTGGGGTGGGGGTGGAGCTTGGAGCTGTGTGGGTCACGTCTGTGACTTCATGCTTCTTGGGGCCCAGAGGATGATCACATCTGGAAGAGATGTAATCTGATGGGGCCTCTGAACTCCCTCCTCTTCCCTTGTAGCATTGGGGGCAGGCAGCTCCCTGGGGTCACTCCAATGACCCCTCTATCCTCCTTGGCTGGCTCCTGGACCAGGGTCTGTGTGGGTGGGGGAAGTACTTTCCTTAGAAGTTGTCTCAGGACTTGGCCCCACACGGGCGGATAGGCCGCCGTGGTGGGATGGGGGGGGGAGGGCGCGTTTAGGGCCTGGGTCCTGGGATGGGGATTGACTGGTTAGGGGTTCCAGAGTCTGGCCTCCTTCCCCAGACTCTGCCTTCATGGGAAGAGGGTAATTATCTAGGAGACTGGCTCCAGCTGGTTTTGTTTGGGGGCTCCCTGAGCCCAAGGCAGGAGCTAGTGGCCAGGGTGCCAGCCCTGCCTGTGTGCCACACCTCCTTTCTGGAACCCTCTCAGACAAGAGACTTGTTTGCAGCGGTGGCAGATGCCCAGTGGGTACACCCTGCCAGCCCCCCCCCCGCCAGCTACTCATGGCACCCCAGGATGGGGGTGCGTGTCAGGAAGTGTCACATAATCTGGGGGGATTAGATGATGAGGGGGAGCGACAGCTGGCAGTGCCTGTGTGCCTGGCGGGTGCCAGTTCCTCTGGCCTGGATGGGGGAGGTGTGGATGGTCAGGTGCCTGGCCAGAGAGGGACAACTTGGGGGCGGGCCACCATCTCTCCAGCCATAGCTGGGACAGAACCCCATCTCTTCTCCCCCCACTCCCCTCCTCCCTTTTAAAAGCAGCCCTGCCTCTTTACTTGCTCCCTCTGCCACCACTCCCCGCCAAGGAATAGGCAAATTGCAGGAGACACCCCCTCCCCTGTGAGCTGGGGGTCCCCTGGCCTGGCCCTCCCCTAGCCACTCCCAGTAGCTAATCCTTTCTCCCTGTTACTCTCTCCTAGAATTTTGTAGCCACCTTGGCTAATGGGATGAGCCTCCAGCCGCCTCTTGAAGAAGTAAATATCCTTTTGTGAGACCCTTCCCCACATAAATATATCTTGCCACACATCAGGCCCTTTCTAGCCGGCTAACCATGATTCCTCTTGCTTCAAACCAGCTCACCCTGTGCCCCCAAACCGTTAGCACAAACCCCCTGCAGGTTTGTGGCTCCCATCTGGCCTCCCCAAATACTGTGGCTACTTCCTTAACTCCATTTCCAGCCCCCCTTTGCCCTTCCCGTGTCTGCCTCAGTTCTGCCTTCCCCTCCCCTCCCCAGCTGTGGGCTGAGCTAGAGACGGGGGCAGAGAAACTGGAGAGATGGTAGGCGTGGCTGAGGTATTGGGGTATTCCCCTGGATGGTGCTCTGGGGGGGTCCTGGAAGAGGAAAGTGGGGTTGTTAGGTTTTGGGGGTTCTGGGGGAGGCAAGATGGCAGGCGGGGGCTGTAGGGTTGCCATGGTATGATTCGGGAGGGAGAAGTAGGGACCTGAATGTTTGAGAGGGCTTGGAGAGTCCCCAGATTTGACCCATGCTCCCGTCCACCCCTCCCAGGTCTCCTGTGGCCAAGCAGAAAGCAGCGAGAAGCCCAACGCTGAGGACATGACGTCCAAAGATTACTACTTTGATTCCTATGCTCACTTCGGCATTCACGAGGTGAGTGTGAGCAGCTCCAAAAGCTGCCGCATCTTGAGGGGGTTAATGTGCATCTTCCGGAGGGCTGGAACTTAATGTCCCACGCATGCGCACTGCCTCCCCTGGCAGCGGGCCTGGCCGCCCCTCTGGGTAGGAGGCACACACCCCGGGGTCGCCTCTCCCAGCCGTTGCCTTGGAGACGGAGCTCAGCCCTTAGCTCTTGGGAGGCTGGGGTTGGGGCGCCTGCCTGCCTGCCTCCCTGCGACTTCAGCCAGAGGTCAGGGTCAGCTGGTGTCTGCTGCCCTCTAGTGTCCGATGGTGGGACTGCCCCCCAGCCTCTCCCTCCCGGATGCACAGGGCTTCTGGACCCTTTTGCACCTTCTGAAAGCTGGTATGCCAGAAAGCGCCTGGGATGGGATTCTGAGGACCTCTGCTTTTTCTTTTTTTTTTTTTGCAAAGGACTCTTTTTTTTTTTTTTTTTTAACTGTAGTAAAATATACATAACAAACTACACTGTTTTTTTTTTTAAGTGAACAGTTCAGTAGCACTGAGTGGGTAAAAGCCAGAGATCACTAGGGCTTAGGAGGCAACAACAGAATCGGGCCAAGGTGCGAGGGAGTTTAGTCCATCCAATCTGATTTTACAAATAGGGAAACGGAGGCATGTGGAAGAGAAATGACTTCTTCCAAGGGGACTAAGAAGTGGGAGGGCTGAGCTCTAGCTCTCCAGACCACCAGTGTGTCAGGGGCCAGGCTGCCCCGTTTTCCAGCTGGGGACGCGGGCACCCTCATGGCGTGTTTGTGTCTCGTGCCCCCCAGGAGATGCTGAAAGATGAGGTACGCACCCTCACGTACCGAAACTCCATGTTTCACAACCGGCACCTCTTCAAGGACAAGGTGGTGCTGGACGTGGGATCGGGCACAGGGATCCTCTGTATGTTCGCTGCCAAGGCCGGAGCCCGCAAGGTCATCGGGGTGAGTGTCCTGGGCAGG